TGCTGCGTCGTCACACCCTCCCCAACCATCGGTGCAACAAGGTGCCTCTTACCACTTGCAGGCAGCATCGCCTATTAGTATGAGTGATTCTGTCGGACAAACGTCGATAGACGACCAATCTGCAAGTACTAACGCGCCTTCCCTACACGACCGCGAGCTGTACGCGATATCAGCTGATCCCTCCGCGAGCGCTAGCTCTATTCGAGAAGCTTCTACTAGTCTGTCCGTCCAATCTACAGGTTCTTGTGACCCATTCAACTCATCGGACGAGGAACCAAAGAGTGGTTTCGCCCCCCTTTGAAACGTGGTACAACGATTGGAACGTGTGTTTTGCTCGGCTGCAAGACTAATAAGACCATACGAAGCAGTTGTACAGTGTTTTGTCTACCGTGAAGGCGACAACGCGTAATGCAGTCATCAAAGCGAAGAAGAAATGGTCCGAAACCGAGCTCATTCCCGAATCATTTGGAGCCTATTACAAGAAGATGCTGTGCACACATGGTTGGAACAAAAGTGAGAGGGGAGATGGCCGAAGGGCCGGACATAGAGGACGTAGCACAGGATGTGGAGTTGTTCTCTGCGCGACTGTGACACGTTGCCCTGAAAGACTCAACTTCAGAGTAAAAGCTACTGTTCACAAGCGGGTTCACAATAATGGCTAGGGAAAGACATCTACGACCAGTATCCTGTCAATAGGCGTGTTACAGACCCCGACGTTCTCGACTTTGTCGATGAGCTAGTCAAGACTGGTGGAAAACCGAAGAAGATACTAAAGAATCTCCAAGAGAAAACAGGTTAAGGGATCTGGTCGAGGCAAATGAAAAGTGGCACCTATAACTAATGTTTGTTGTGTGTGTCGTATTAGGCAAGAACGTTACCTTGCGGGAAGTGCACAATTTGGTGCAGCGATTGAAGGCAAGGCGGCTCGGAATTGCAACTGTCGAAGATCGACTGCAGGCTGTACTGCGTAAGTTTTGTGCCTTTCGTGACAATACTGCCTCTATCGTCGTGACCGAGACGGAGACTACGCAAACAACCACACTACAGACAAGACAGACGCATCGGTTCTTTAAGGCCTTTCCAGAGGTGCTCATGCTCGACTCCACACATGGAACGAACGTATCCAAGTATAAGCTGTTCATCTTCATGATAGAAGACGTTTTTGGTCATGCACGTTCTCCTTGTTTGTGATAGTTGTCACAGTTGATGATCAATTGGGCTAGTTGGTGAACGGTTGTGCTAGTTGGTGATCAATTGGGCTAGTTGGTGATATAGTGGGATGGTTGATATCACTAATAAAACGTTTGTGATTTGTGTGCTGTTGAATTACTCACATGAAGGGTCAATACGTTCAGCACGCATTGGTTGAGAATGAGAGCCACACTTGCATGAAAGAAGCTATCGGGGC